GCTGTCTGTCCGCTGGCCAATGCAGACGTAAACACACACACACACACTCTGTGAAATGATTCAGCTGATTCATGTGACGAGCAGTATCAGGAGTCAAATGATTAAGACCTGTTTGTGGAGGCTGGTGTAGTTGACAGACTGGGCTGTTGTCCAATGCGTTCCAGGAGCTTCCGCCCCCCCCCCCCCCCCCCCCCCCCCCAAAGAGACTCTGACCGCGACTGATCAGATTCAAGAATGCTGTTATTTGTTCAGCTTCAGTTGAGAGTAATGACCAGGTGGAGCAGCTCCAGATTTTCTTTTTCCAGTGTTTATTGTCAAAAGCCTTTCTAAGAAACACTAAGTGATGAAGCAGTGGAACAGAGTGTCTCTGCATATGACAGGATGAAATTAATGTTGTGTTTCTTTCTTTCTGTCTCTTTTCGCTCTCTCTGCTCCAGCTTCTGGAGCTTATCGCCAAGTCCAAGCTCCCCTCGCTCAGCGGAGTGGCGCAGAAGAATTACATAAATATTCTGGAGAAAGTGGTACAGAAAGGTGAGACCTGTCAATCCTCTCTCACTCAAATAGGTTTTCCTCTGAGTTTCCGTCTTCTGTGTGTCTGAGGGTTTTATTTTTCTCTCTGATACATAAACAAAATCCAGCCCCTGGTCGATTTGATTTTATTGTTGGTTCAAGTTTAGAGAAAATAAAACGCACAAGTTGAGCAAACATGAAATCATATGCACCAGTAGGTGAGGAAATGAGCCCTGATAAAATCTGAAGCAGGCAGAGCAGTGAATTTTAGGCTTTAATAGCTCAGTGAAAAACACTGACAGTCACCAGATCCCTCTGCAAGCCACAGTGTAAACTCAATGTTCGCTCTGCTAAACAGATTCAGGTTGTTTAGGTGGCGTGATGAAACCTGTCAGACAAATATTATGAGGACGACAGCACAGCCAATCCAAAACATTTAGTTTGATGTTGTGATTTTTGATGATTCTCAATAAATATTTTACCGTTTTCCTGGTTGCTGCTAATCCCTCTGTTACACACATCACTTTCACGATCATCACTGAAGGAATGGATTGAGTTTGATGGTTGGTTGTTTTCGATTTCCTCCCACAGTCCTTGATGACCAGCAGAATGTTCGTCCGATCAAAGAGCTGCTGCAGACCCTGTACGACTCGCTCTGTGTTCTGGTTCAGGACATGGGCAAGTCCGTCCTGGTGGGCAACATCAACATCTGGGTGCACCGCATGGAGCACATCCTGCAGTGGCAGCAGCAGCTGGACAACATCCAGATCAACAGGGTAAGGCTTTGCTGGAGACACAGGACCACGAGCCAGACTCAATAGTGCTCAGAGTGTGTTGAATTTAGCGACTTAATGTTTCCAACATATTCAACTTAACTTACTCTGCCTCCTGTTTCCTGCAGCCTGCATCTACGGGCATGACTCTGACCGACCTGCCTGTCAGCCTGCAGCTCAACATCATGCAGCGTCTGTCCGACGGCAGGGACGTGGTCAGCCTGGGCCAAGTGTGTCCCGAGCTGGGGGCCCTCACAGAGGACCGGCTGCTGTGGAAGAAACTCTGCCAGCACCACTTCACAGACAGACAGGCACGTAGAAAATGAATGGGCGATCTCTAAAGCTGTTTTCAGACATGAACTCCACAGGATGTCCGCACGATTAGGTCGGGACTTTCTCCAGGGTTTGTCTTTCATGCATGAACAACGCAGCAGGAGATTCTCCACTCAGACGCGTTGGCAACAACACAGACATATCCAGAGCACAGGACTTAAAGTAATAATTCAGCTCTTTAGCTCAAGTGTTTTTGTTTACAGCACACAGGCTTTGGCTCTCATCACCAAAAGCTCGGCACCGCTTTTACATCCAGAGATATTTGTTTTCTTTTTGTTTGTTTTTTCAGTTTTGCTGAAACTCGCCCACTTGTTTTCTACATGGGCTCATCTGTACCTTCTCCCAGGAGTTTTTAATAACTCTGGAGAGAATCCACAGCCTCTTACTCGGACGTTTGCATTCTGGAGTTCAGTGCATGTCTGAAAGCAGCTTAAATATGTACACAGTGAGAATGCTGCAGTACTTGTGCACACATAAGCACATTTCCCTACAGTGCAGGTTAGCTGTCCTCCTGATTGTCCTTTAAAATGTCCCTGCTTCAGCTGACCTACTGAGACATACATTTCAATAAAATCACTCAACAATTAGGTCAAGCATCTGTGATAAACTCAACTTGCTACTGGATCATGGGAGGGCGCAGGGTGTGCACAGGGACACTGCACCACACTGAAAAGCATTCACCTGATCAGCGAGTGAACTGCACTAAGCTGTAAAGAAGGTTACAGAGATGATTCCTGCAGGTCAGAGTGGTTTAGATTCAGTTTGTGCCGGGGGTGGACCTCAATCCATTAAGGCTTCTTAAATCTCTCTTTTTCTGAGTACATTTGAAGTTGAGAATGTTCTCAAGAAAGCAAACATTAAATCCACTTTAATGTCAAACTATTATTCTTGGGTCACGTCATAAAAGTCTGTTTCCTTCTCCCTCAGATCCGGAAGCGCCTGATGATGTCAGATAAAGGTCACCTGGAGTGGAAGAAGATGTACTTTAAGCTGAGCCGCTGCTATCCTCACAGAGAACAATACAGTGACACCCTGCACTTCTGCTCACACTGTCACATCCTTTTCTGGAAGGTACTTCCTTTGTCTGTCTTTCACTTTGGACCAAATTGGAAACGTAAAGAAAGAAATATGAAAACAGCAGCATTTAAAACTGACAGTTATGTTGTTTTGTTTTTTTCCATTTGCAGGACACAAACCACCCCTGCACGGCCAACAACCCAGACAGCTGCACCATGCCGCTCTCCCCTCAAGACTTCATCAACCTTTTTAACTTCTGATTCCACATGAACTGACTGTACATACTGTACATAGACTTGTACAATATTGTTTTTTTTTTGTTTAACGGCACAATCAATTCCTGGATGTATGTTTGGTGGAGGTGTGACTCTTATGCATTCGAGCTTTGTTTTGGAAGAGGCATCGGACAGGGTTCACTGTTGAAAAGTGAGCGAACGTGACAGAGAGGAAAAGACACGTAGGAGCAGTCGTCTTGAGGATGGATGAGAGGAGAGTGGAGGAAAAAAGGGAACACTCAGCTGTCAGAGTCTTAGTTTAATGTGGCTTTTTGGAAATGGACTCACATCTCTTGACCTTAGCTGTGTGCACTTGTTTTTTTTCCCCAGTTTGGAGAATTGTATTTTATTTTATTCTTGGTTTTCAAACCTTGTAATTGTTCTTTTCGACGCGGGAGGGAGGGACAGTATTTAATATGATTGAAATAGTGAAATATTTGTTCAGTATGACATTATGAAGCCTGCTCATGTTGGGTATGGAACGTGTCAGGTGACGTTTGCAGTAATATTGTGTGGGAGAAGTAAATTGTGAATTGCTGCAGAACCTAAGAGACGATGAATGTAAGTAAATTAAGTTGGTAATTAATCATTAGTGAGTGATGATTGTTTTATATGTAAACACCACGATATCTTTCCTATCTTGTTCTTTTTCACTTTTGTATGGATTTGTTATGATTTTTTAAATTGTGTTTTGTTCGTTTTCTGCCGTGGCTGCTATAGCAACAGCACCTGAGTGCAGTATTACCAAAGATTGTAATCAGAGTTTAATATTACAGTGGTGTGTGCCTTATCGTAAAACTTGAAACCTGGTACAGCTTAATCCTTGTTTGCAATGATTTCAAATCCTGATGCTGCTTTTTATCATCATCATCATCAATCATCATCACCAACAAGCGTCTCATTTACAGAGTAGTTGTGTTTAGGATCTGTTGCTCTGATACAAAAGTTGAATTGTTGTATTTTTCTGTAGCCTCCTGCATGTTTTTTTTTTATTTTTTTCAAACACCAAGCTATTTGTGTTTATGGATTTATTTATTGAGATTCTGGCAAGTGTCTCATCTTGCACTATTGGATTTGATTTTCCTCTGTCACTGCTCACACTAAGGAATGATGTACATGCTATGCAATGCATTTAGCTTATGTTCTGTTGCGTGAATAAAAGAAAATAACATTACATCTGGCCCTTAGATTGAGTCCCTCAGCTCACACTTAAGCATCATGGGCCTTCCCCAGAAAGAGCTGTACTGTGGGTCTCCTGTTGCTAAAAGCATGTGTGTGCTCTCTACTGGAGAAATGTTGAACTGCAAATTAGTCTTTTAAAAAAGGAACATTTGGCTGCTGGTACTCGAGATCATCAGCATATAATGACTATCTATGAGAGATGATGTTTTCTGTGCCTCAGACTCTCCATTAAAGTCTCATCTTGGAGCAGAGAAATTAAACTGCTTGGATGATGAAAAGCTGAGTCTAATAAAAAAACACAATTGCACTCACTAGAGTGTTTGCCCATGCCCAACAGTCCCCTCATGAACAAACATTTAAATTAACTAGGTCCAAATCAAAATTGTGCAAACTCATAAATATCAGTCCCTTAAATGTGTCCGATTTTTTTTCATCAAGATTCATGACCCTGAGAAATCGATGGAAATGTTCAACGTCTTTTTAACAATGTTGAAACTAAACATTTTTGGTACTTCCCCCTGATTCTGATCTGCACCAAAAGTTCATGGGTTTATAGGTTACGCCCCACCCCTCGACAAAATATCATGGAAATCTGTTTTGTAGTTTTGGCGTAATCCTGCTAACAAACAAACAAATGCAGATGAAAGCGTAATCTCCTTGGCAGAGGCAACTACAAGGATGTTCCCGGAGCACATACCTCCACCAAGGCTAATGTCCTATTCTTGAATTCACCTGTTTAGTCACATCTATGCCAAAATTTAAACAATTCTCTCTCGGGTCATGTCCCGCCCCTCCACAAAAGTACATGGAAATCGGCAGTTTTTGAGTCACCCTGCTAGTAACAAACAAACAAAGGTAACAGAACAAAGGAAATCAGGCCCACTCCACATGATCAACTTCTGACATGAAATGTTCTCAAACAATGGTTTTAATTGTTGCAGCAGGACAAGAGCTTCAAACTTCTTTTTTTTTACATGAGGCAGAAAATACAAACAACATTCACTGCTTGTAAGGCAGCATTATTAAATAATACAACTTCTTAAAAATGTTATGTAAATATGATTTTACTTTTAAACAAGTGAAACCATAGAGCACATACATTAAGTAGTTGTGGTGTGCATCTGCATCTGCTGCAGCATTGCACATACAGTACTGCCGTGCCCCTCAGGGACAAACAGGTAGCTTTTATGGAGGTGAGTCAGACTGGGAAAGACATGATACTGCTGCTGTAAAGGCAATAACACACAGGCTGCGATTTAAGGCCTTGCAGGTAGAAAACACACAGAGTGAGTTAATCCATCATTTCACTACACTGACCACTAAAGAACAATCTGTATCTCATCTCCTTCTTCTTTATTAACCCAATTAAAAGATCTGCTGGTTGCCTGTTACCAACAGAGGTGAACCAGGTGATACTGCTTGGCTGGTTTGGATTCAGTTCAACTTGTGACCCTTTTAAGAACCAGTTTGCTTTTCCACAGTCTAGAGCCACCACAGAGCCATGTCACTACGTCACTTAATATGTCGCTCAATACGCCTCCGAATTTCCCAGCAACACTAACGCTAACTTCAAGCACAACTTTAAAAAAGGCTACAGCGTCTACTCTCAGTTTTATTTTTTGCAGGCATTTCACGACACAAGATGTTTTTGTAAAAATGGTGGTGACGGTGTTGTGCTTGGTCGTACTGGTCTTGTATGGTGTGATAATCCCGCCCCCGGCTCCTGTCACAAGCAGCTCTTTCTTCTGGACCAGCAAAGGGTTGGCGCCAGAGTGAAATCAGTTTTTCTGCTCGAGAGCCAGTTCTTACTTTGTCAAAACACAAGGAACTGGTTCGAGATGAGGCACTGACTCTGAGCGACTGCTTTGGTAGAAACAGGGTATGTGTGTGCCTGTGTGTTGGTGCCTCCGCAGCAGAAAAACAAGGCGATGTCAAAGGTACATTCCCATCTTTTAGAAAAATCTTACATAAAGAATAACATTTCTTGCAATCATAGCTAGCTGCCCATTTTCTTTAATTACCTCCCTTCCCTTGTTTTTATAACTAACATGCAAACATATTGTCTACAGTTTGTGCCTTTTGAAACACACTAAAGCACCAGTAACAAGTCTCTGGTTTGAACTCCTAGTATAGGAGTCTCTTGTGGTTGAGAAAAAAATATGTCATGTAAAATGAAAGAATGAAGCTTGTTGCATATTATATTGTACTGTATCTTCTGCGTGACCCTGCTGCTGCACCCTAATCTTTCTAACTGAAGCCAGGACATGAGAGCAAAGCAAACGTGCATTGGTAATAAAATATTCTAACCAGTGAAGTTACTGTTAAAGTTGACGCGTTTCTTCCTGGAAGATAAACGTTCACAGCAACACACAGGACTTTTAAAACCTGTTGTCACTCATCAGGAGAGTGTGAAATACACTTAGAGAAACTGTGATGGTCTCCTCAGTCGCTTTAATTAGACCGACTGTTAATGGGTTAATGAGTCCAACCACAATGACGCTTCCTCGTAACTGTTGAGCTTTGGCAGCAGTTGTCTGTTTGAGCTTCCAGTGCATGTTCTCTAGAGCTGAGAGGAGGAATGTGTGTGTGTCAGTGTGTGTGTCAGTGTGTGAGGGGGAACTCCAGAAAGTCTGAGTACCAACTGCAGAGGATCCCAAGATGCTGAGGAGCCCCGGTGGTTTAGGAGCTGTAGCCAGGGAGAGTATTCCTCACAGTGGAGCTGCAGCCCTGTGTATGCAAACAAATGTTTTGTGACATATACACTAACGTAACACTTCTCTTTGTTAAGTTTAGATAAGAGAAAAAATAAGAAACAATGCAGAAAAATAGTAATAGAATTATAGGACTGGAGGAAAAAATGGATGCAAAGGAAAGTAAAGAAGTTACCAGATTAAGTAAATGTCAGAGAGGCACGTTCTCTGTTTCAGAGTTCTGAATAATCCACTCAATAGCATCCCAACCCTACAGATCCACACAGAGAGACCGGAGATTAAAGAGGAGACACACACTGACAGGAAAGTACCAGTGCTGACAGTGACAGCAGAGAGACAGTGGAGTCCCAGCATTCCATTTATCTTTATGGCTTGAACCAGAATTCAGATGACATGCAGAAGGTGAAACAAGTGTCTAAATAGGAATGTTTATTTTCTGCTACCTTCCTGGCGTTGGCCGACATTCTCCTGGCCATCATCCCCTCCAGGTAACTGCTTAGACTGACTCCCTTGACTGTGATGATGGCCTCCTGGGTCAGGACGGTACTGAGGAGCGAGGGAGGGAAGCAGCAGAGAAGCAAAGAGAGAGAGAGAGAATGATTACTGCAAGATACGACTAAACAGCGTAACATTGGCCCAGTTCAGAGATCTGATCACAAGTCGTATGTAAAGTTTGTCTGTTCACACCTGGCATTAAAATGCGTCCTAAATGTGTCTCCTGTGACCGCTTGTGATTGGATCTCACTTCCTCGCTCTATATGCAAATACACTTGTATGAATTTTCTGTTTGCAAAGACCTAATGATGTTGCTTTACACGTCTGAATTTACATGTGTCCGATGTCACTGCATCTGTGTGTCAGTGGGAGTCGGGTGTGAGCGAGAGAGCGGTAAAGAGAGAGAGAGGAGGCAGGAGAGGCTGAATGGATCTTGTGCAGATGTACTATTAAGAAACATTTGATCAATTTCACAAAAGCGCCAGTCATTATGTGGTGAACAGTGTTGATGTTGTGATGGTGACTGTTAATTGATGGCATAATTACTTTTTGGACACTTGGTGGCGCTCATTAGAGTCACTGGGTGAAATAAGCAGGGCATAGGTAACAGGAAGGGGAGGACACACAGCTCTCACTAGACTATCAGAGGGAGATCCATACAGTCTCTGGGGAGATCACAGACTAGCAGCGTGGATCACCACGGGTCAAACCAGAGACGAACTAACTACATGACAACATACACCTGGTATGTTCATCCTTTCATCCATCTCACTAAATAAACAACAAACGAACCATAAGATCCAGTGTGGACATCAATGAGCAGGCGGTCCTTCACATGTGGCCCAGGACACACGGAGAAAAGAAAGTGGCCACATGTGTCACTGATCACCTCCCAATGAGGTGAATGAATCTCAGAAAACATTCAGACCTGAACTTAGCTCTGACCGAGGTTAATTCCAGGTGTGAACAGGGTCATTGTGTACCTGCAATCACACCATGTCCAGCACTTTATATTCCCTGTATACACGTGTACATACACTCGCTGTGACAATAACAATCTTTCATAAATGAAATGCAAATTGCACTTACACCTCAGGGTTGTCTGGGTGTGGCCTGTAGAGAAGCCTCTCGTCAACTGATATGAGGTTGGTGAGAGTAATCTGGAAAATAAAAGATTTAGATTAAATAGATTTGCATATATTTATTATTTATAAATTATTGACAGTTTTAAAGAATCTCAAGCCAGGATCAAGGTGCATTCTGAGGTGAGGGTTGGAGGAGGGATTCACTTGGCTGTGCACAGGGGAGGAGTTATGAAAGGGAGGTTATTTAAGGTCTCCGTTAACCAGGTAAATCCCTGTTTGAGAACATGTTTTAGTTGATTGTGCCAATTGTTTGAGAATTCAGTTTCTATCCTTTATATTACGTCCATCTAACACACACCCTAACTCACTTTGTCTTTGATTACTAGTTCCTAATATCCCCTAATGTTTGATGGTTATATATCTAACATTTGTGTTCCTGATGAAGACTTCAGATGCTTTGTTGACTTAGTGGATGCACAATTATGTTAGCTTCTTTAATATTGCGAGATTGGGCGTTTTTCAAAAGTTTTCGCAGGGAAGAATTCATGGATCTTGATATGAACTAATCAGGCTAATTTAGGGAACTGATATCTATGAGTGTGTGAATTAGGTGCAGCTGGATTGAATTTAAGGGGACTGTTGGGCCTTGGTGGAGGGACGTGTCTAGTTCAAATGTGTAGCCAGTCAATGCTGTGTAACCTGTGCTGATCAGTCATCAGTGCCTGATGGGCTCAATACAAACTTACATTTGTTGAGCACAGCTCCATCTTTTTCTCCTCTGGGTCGACTATGGAGTGCTCCTTCACGTAGGTTTGTGTGTGGTTGGTTCCCAGTAGCTGCAAACACAACAATAAACCGTAATTTTAATTAATGACATGTTTGTTCTTCTCTGACCCTTGAGCATCATTTAGAAACGTATATCTTCATCCTCCTTTTCTGCATGTCCAAGTGTGGGTGTATGTGGTGTTGACTGACCGCTCGAACGATGCTCGGCAGGCCCCACTCTGTGCTGAGGAGTCTGTGGCTGTGCAGGCGTCCCTCGGCGTCCAGGCTGCGGTCCAGCACGTCCACCCCGACCACGTTAGGGTTCATGGGGTTGGGGTACTTTCTCATTGCAGCCTTGATCACTGTCTCCCAGGGGTAACTGCACACAAACACAAACAAAAAAAACTGACAACAAGCTTATGGTGCAGAACAGATTGTAAAATGTCCTCATTAAGTTAAGTACACATGGGTTAATGTAGTCAGTGTTGACCAAATCAGGACAAAGTGTGAGGGATGCTGTGTTGGTTTGGTTTCATTTGTGTTTTCTGATATGAAACATCTGACAGTTCACTGACTCCTGGTGTTTAATACTCATAGTGACTCCTCATCGATCTATTGAATTTACTGACTACAGCCGTTGTTTCCCTGACGTCCCTGCCTGCTGCTCTCAGTAACCACACTGATCTCAAGCAGGTTTTCCACTAATTTAACTGTGCAAAAATGCTTGCAATTTCATTTCTTACATGTGCAATACTGTTTCACGGTATATATTTTGTTGACATTGCACATAAGTTTTACTTTTTTACTATTCCTTGCTCCTTTGCTATTCTAAAATGGTAAATTTCCCCATATTGGATCTAAAAAAGCTTTATCTAATCTCATCTCATCTTATCTTCAGAGTTTGATGCTGCAGTTTCAACTGAGACACCCAGTGTGAAGGTCCCATCGACCTTGCCCTGCAACTACATCTCACTTCATTCTGCTTCAATAATAATCTATGACAATGACGACCAGTGTGACCCACCTGAAAACATGCTCCGTGCTCCAAATCTTCATTTTGTTCTTCTTATCAGAATTCTCGGTGAAACCCCTCTCTCAGATCCCTCACCGGACCATGTTCGTGTGAGGAACTAACTCCACTGGCCAGAGAACAGGGCCTGTGATGGAAGCTCACGACCATCAATGAAGAGGGTCCCAGGAGCGCATCTCTGCTTTTCTCCGCATTTCTGTCGTGCGTATCAGCTGCGTACAGAAGCACTGGTCCACCCGTGGCACAATGTGAGTCCCGGGATAATAGCAAGAAAAGATTCACTCTGCAGATCAGAGCAAACGGCTCGTACATGTAGAGAGGACAAGAGAAAAACCGGTGCAACAGCGGAGCTACCGAGTGTCCAGTTAGACAGAGTGAGATACAGGATTGTGGCCAGTGACATCAAAATAAAACAATTTTCACGCTCTTACATGTCTGCAGTTTCTCACTCCTATTATGCTACAGCCTTAAATTCACCGACATTTCTTCAGTGTGTCATTTAATTGTTTTCCTACTGTAGAATAAAGATTAAAGGTGGGTTTAATGCAGAGTGCGTTGCTACTTTTGTCAAATTCGACACTATAGATTATTCGTCTTATTTTGAAGGCAGCAGAGTGTCTGTTCCTGTCTCACTCCGGTTGTTTCTCGCTGACTTGATGAAGCTGATGCGTTTCTGCTGCATCCGCCTCCATGTGTGCGCATGCGCAGAGCATCTTTCCATCATTCCAGTCCAGCGGCAGCAGCGCAGGAGCCGAGCTGCGTCAAGTTACAGGAACAGTCAGACTCAGACAGGATATACAGAGAGGCAGCTCACTGTAAAATGAGCCTCACACAATTAGGCCAACGGGAGCATTTTGTGACCCATAATAATAAGAATAATCATAATGATTACAACTATGGCAATACTGATAATATGAAAAAACAATATCTGCATCACTTATCCTTTAAGGGTCACGGGGGAGCTGGACTTAATCTCAGCTGATATTGGGTGAGAGGCAGAAAGCACCCTGGACAATATAATATATAAATATTAATAATATAGAATAGCCCATCGGCTATGAAATAACCAATATTGATTAAATATGTGCAGTGCATTTTTCTGTGGACTAATTGTCATTGTTACTACTTTTTGTTTTTGTTGCTTAATTGCCTGATTTTAATATCACCTTTTGAAAACTTATAGGCACTGTTTTTATGGCTATGATGTAATACATTTTCAATTTGTGCATTTTATGCAACGAGAGAGAGCATCTCACAAAAGGGGGGACGTCAACCTTTTATTTATTATGAAAGTCTGACCGGAAATGTGTGCTTGATTGTGTCTGCCTTGACGCTGGCGCTGGTGGCGACCAGAGGAGAAATTCATTGAAGCAGACGCAGTGGAGGCTGGTGTTGTCCCGAAAAGAGAAATTGTGACCGTCGCCGTGAACTCAGCGGCTCGTTTTATTCTCCTCTGCCTGTGGACGCGGAACAATTCAATCCATCTGATAGAAGGTGTGATCAGTGGATTAGAGCAGGGGCAGAATTACGCACAGCGCACGGGCCTGCGCTGAATGTCATAACACTGGGATATTCTGCAAAGCACCGACACGGTAAGGTGATGAGCATCTTCACTGGCACGCAGACCAGTGGGGGTGTTATTACGGTCTGTGGTGTGTTTGCTGTGCGCAGCCTCCATCTCCACACTTATCATTCGAATGGACCGATGCTTATGCAGATGTGAGATGGGAACAGCTGAGGGTTTAAAAAAATCCTATGGGTGATGGAGAGAACGCAGGCGATCTGAAGGCCCAGTGCATGCCGCAGGACGCACGTTGACATGATTGAATCACATAGTGTAAATCTAATCATCCATATCTGTAAGAAACGCGATGTGCGCTGCGTATTAAGTCCTTTGTGAATAGTTAATGCTCACAGCAGGTTGCACAGTGAAAGCGTGCAGGACTGTGGCAGATGCTGCAGCAGAAGCTCGATCAGCTTCAGGCCGGAGAGAGGGGGAGGGATGGAGGGGGTGTCATCTTTTTTAGGATCATTAAATCACATTGCGCGTCTTCGCTGGTTATCAACATACGCGTCGGTCCGGCTCTGTCTAGAGCAGATGACCCATTTCAATGTAAAGAAGCGGTGCCACGAGGCCAACCCTCTCGATGTGAAGGACCACCACGTTGGAGGGTGGTCGCGCTGAAGCCAAAAATCTGCTGACACATGCGCTCTGCTGCCTGCTGCTCCCTGCCTTTGTGCGCAATGAAACCTACAGCGCGTCTCTCAGGGCCTCATGGGGCCACAGGCATCTGATGGGCTCACAACTGGCCTCTGGTCTGCATTAACGTTATGTTCCAGTCAAAGAGAAAAGCACAGTTCACATGAGGTCACATTATTAGTAACTGAGCTCTCTGAGGATGCCCCCCCCCTTATGATTGGTGGAAAGCTGAGAATTTAAAGGCCTTGTCATTCACATCTGTCATTTCAGGTCCTTGCCACAACCATGGAGATTGTGACCCATTTTATCAATGACACCATAGAATTCTACAAATGGACCCTAACCATTGCAGGTAAAAGTCTTGGTTTTTTTTATGATTGATTGTCAGAGTGAAAGACCTGTTTAATGTTTTAGG